TATTGTCTTTCAGCTGCTCCCATCTTTCGGGGTCGTCAAAGCGAGTGAACTCGCACGAAGATTTGGCGATTGTTTTTACGCCGGATGCCCTTCCTGACTGACCACCGAGCTGCCTTGCTCAAGGAGCCAGGCAGGTGGGGCTAACTCACCTGTTTTACATGTTTGATGAGTCAGGACTCGAACCGGTGACCTCCCGATCATGTTCGCCTTCTCTAACCTCTGCACCTCCACTCCCTCTGTATATTCTAATAAATACACAGTCCCCAATATTTAAATATGACGTTATTGATGGGACGCCTTCAAATGTGTCCAAACATGACTGACAGGTTCAGACAGTCTGTCCTCACATGGGACGACCACGAGCTCTACACACCTCATTTCTGTGTGTGTGTGTGTGTGTGTGTGTGTGTGTGTGTGTGTGTGTGTGTGTGTGTGTGTGTGTGTGTGTTTACCAGCACAGTCTCTCTGACAGTTTGATGCAGGGCATCGAGGTTACATCTGAGGAAATGCTTTTAGCGGTCACCAGTCTGCAGAGGGGACGCTAGCTGGCACCATCTGGTCCTCAGATCCAACGTTTATCTGGCACGGTCTTGGCCAAAGTCCATACCTGCTTGTTCTACTCACACACATGCACACGCACGCGCGCACACACATACGCAGCCAATCGAAGCACACATTTTGTGGGGGTCAACCCTAAACGGCAGGCTGAGAGCAGATGTCCATCAACCCTCCCTGTCCAGTTAATTAAACATCACAACCAGTGCGGAGACAACTCACATGCACACATGCACACGCACAAGCATACTGTACAGCCCACAACAGAACAACCCAACGGCTGTTTGTCCTCTGCATGGACATCAGTGTGTGGAGGGAAGGGGGGTTGTGGATGGGGGGGGGGGGGGGGTATTTAACGTGTAATACTCATCATGACTGAGACCAGAGAAGAAGGAAAATAGAAGTTCTGATTCTTTAAAGACCTTCAGACGTATGAGAGATGATGCGTCCTCTTCAGTTCCATTTTTATTTTTTAACGTTTAATGTGTTCCAGGGGTGTCCAGTCCTGGTCCTCAGGGACCCCCATCCTGCATGTTTGAGAGGATTCTCTGCTCCAACACACCTGGTTTAAATCAAGGTGATTAACAGGCTCCTGCCGAGCATGAAGATGTGATTTAACCACTGGATCAGGTGTGCTGGAGCAGGAAACTGGTCCAACTTGTAGGGTAGTGGCCCTCAAGGACCAGGACTGGACACTTCTGCACCCCCCCCCCCCCCCCCCACTCACTGGTAATCTTCCTTTTTGTTGCCTTACAGGTAGGGATCAGTAGCTCAGTGATCAGAGCCATTATCTTGAGGTTGCAGGTTTGAATCCATGTTGCGTCAGGAAGGGCTTCTGGTGTGAAACAGTTGACAAATCTTTTGTGTAAAGTTGCTCCATGTGGCAACCCCTGAAGGAGGAGGCATCCGACAGACAAACAACAGCCTGGAATGTCACATGATGAGGATAATAATGATAATGTTTATTTAAATGATAACCCTATTTAAAAAATACATTATTTAAGTTAAATGTTGGTAATTCTAGAAAAAGATTCACCCCACCACCGACATCAAGAAGACCAAGGAACGTTCTCCACAACTCAAAGGTAAAGTTATGGAAGAGAATAAGATCTGAGGCTGGGTGGAGGTCCAGCAGCAGAATGACTCAAACTCACAGAGCACTGCTGGTTTAAGGAGAACAATACGAGGTCCTGTAATGGTCCAGTCAAAGCCCAGACCTTACTGGTCTGGTTTAACGATTGCTCCATGTGGTGTCCACCCAACTAAAAGAAGCTGGAGACGTTTGTCCATCACAAACGAGAAAGCTTCAAGTGGTTACCTGAACCTGAAGAGACTCCAGGCTGATCTGCTGCAAGAGGTGGTTACACAGCTTTAAAACATAATGACACGCCACTTTTCAGTGACTTAAATTGTCTTTCCCCACATTTAACTGTATTTAGGATGTTTTTAATAGGGCCAATAATTAAAATTAACTGAAAACATTTGAATTCCTGGATGTAACAAAATCAAACGACTACCAGTGGGTGGGAGTGAAAACATTTCTGAGAATTGCAGAATCGGTTGATTAAAGCTGTAAAAGACCACAAAAAACAACTTGGGAGCTACTTTTACAGACATAAACAGCTGCATACATTTAACAAAAGAGCAAAAATGATCCAAACGATCAAATGATTCTTAAACTGTTAATGTGAAACACTTCTTAAATCAGATCAGGTGGACATGCAGTGCCTGCTGTTTCAGCTTAAACTGGTCTGTTTTGGGGCTTCATGATAATTCACAAGTCTTGACGCCAAAGTAAAACACTGAAGAGTTTCTGCTCTCCTCTTTAGACACATTTCTCTGGTTTGATGTCGGCGTGTCGTCGGTCGTTGATTCATGTCAGGAACAATGAATGGATCTCTGTTTGTCCGACTGCTGTAATCCCAGCAGGCATTGGGCTGAAGTCAGGGATCCACTGAGGACTGCTGTCAGTAGAGACTTCAGCGGCGCTCGTGAAGCTGACATCAGCCCATTGCCTCATTTTAGAGGAGCGCCGTGTACCCCAGATCAGAAACTTCACATAAAATCAGTGACCAGTCGAACACTGAGATCCATCCAGACAAATTGATAACTCAGAGTGATACAAAAAACTCCATTTAGAGCTCCACAACTAATTTAATTAGGCTGCTGCTTAAAATGTATGTTTATATAATAAACCTTACAGGGCTGCCTTAAAGAAAGAGCTGAAGTCCTTGTTTTAAAATCCTAGATTTAGTTGAAATCATCGTCATTCAGTTTTAGCTTCTCTCCATTGGCTCCCTGTCAAATCCAGAATAGAATTCAAAATCTTACTTCTAACCTACAAAGCTCTCAACAACCTAGCTCCATCTTATATTACAGATCTTATTGTTCCACATTTTCCTAACAGAGCACTTCACTCTCAGACTGCAGGTTTACTTGTGGTTCCTAGAGTTTCCAAAAGCAGAATGGGAGGAAGATCTTCCAGTTCTCAGGCTCCTCTCTTGTGGAACCAACTTCCAGTTTCTGTCTGTGAGGCTGAAACATTGTCCAGTTTAAGACTTTCGTTATGATAAATCCTATAGTTAGTGTTGGCTTGGGTTTTGTGAGATATCTCTTAGTTATGCTGCTAAGGGTTTAGACTTATGGAAAACAAATTGACCACAGGTCCTCTCTCTGCTGCTGTGTTTACTTGCTCTACTCTTCCTGTTTGTAATTATTTCTATTTTAACATGTGTTTTGTCTTTCCTCCTATAGAAAGTACACCTGGACTATAGAAAGTACACCTGGACTATAGAAAATACACTTGGACTATAGAAAGTACACCTGGACTATAGAAAGTACACCTGGACTATAGAAAGTACACCCGAACCATAGAAACTACACCTGGACTATAGAAAGTATACTTGGAGTATAGAAAGTATACTTGGACTATAGAAAGTACACCTGGACTATAGAAAGTTCACTTGGACTATAGAAAGTATACTTGGACTATAGAAAGTATACTTGGACTATAGAAAGTACACCTGGACTATAGAAAGTACACCTGGACTATAGAAAGTACACCCTAACCATAGAAACTACACCTGGACTATAGAAAGTATACTTGGACTATAGAAACTACACCTGGACTATAGAAAGTTCACTTGGACTATAGAAAGTATACTTGGACTATAGAAAGTACACATGGACTATAGAAAGTACACCTGGACTATAGAAAATACACTTGGACTATAGAAAGTACACCTGGACTATAGAAAGTACACCTGGACTATAGAAAGTACACCTGGACTATAGAAAATACACCTGGACTATAGAAAATACACTTGGACTATAGAAAGTACACCTGGACTATAGAAACTACACCTGAACCTGTCATTCTGTGTCTGGTTCTACTTCCTGTCCTCTCAAACCAGCTGGTTGAAGCAGATGTTCGCTCGTCCTGA